TATTAATCTAATGAGGAAAATATATCAGGTGCAGCTCATTTAATTACATACATCATCAAAACGGTAATATAGTCTAGTAATTCAATTTGGAATGTGAAACTCATGAAAAGATTGAGCACACACAGAGTGATTTATTTATCACTATCAATTATGATGACTCGATCTTATAGCTCTCAGAAAATTAGGAATATTACATCAAATCAACACAAAGGTTATGCTGTGCCTACAAAAAGTAACTGCTAAAGAAGCTGGCTGTTCACAGAGAGAAGTATCCAGATGGAAAGTTGCACAACCAATATGGATAACTGAGAGCCGTGAGAGGATTGGGAAGCAAAGCCTATTCAGGAGATTTGGTGGAGATTCACAAGGCATCAACTGGAGTTGGAGTCACTGGTTGAAGAGCCAACACACACACACACACACACACACACACACACACACACACAAGCACGCAAGCACACAAGCACGCAAGCACACATGTTTGCATGGCTATCTTTGTGGGGACTTTCCATTGACTTCCATTAACTTCTACTGCCTAAACCTTAACCTTACCCTCATCCTAACCCTAACCCCATCATGCCTAACCCCATCCCTAACCAAAACTCAATTCACACCTTAGTCCTAAATCTAACCCCTGGCCCAAAAACAGCGTTTCCCCTTGTGGGGACCAGGCTTCGGTCCCCACAAGGAGCAGTGGCCCCCACAACATAGTATGTGTCCGGAAAATGGTCCCCGCAAGGTATTACAAACAAATGCACCTCCCCCCCCCTCACACACACACACACGCGCATCCAGGTCATTGTGCAATTCAAGTTGCTTGAAGTTCAGAGTGAAGATTCCAGCCATTGATGATTTGGGCGCTTATATCATCTGCTGGAGTTGGTCCCTTGTGTTTAATCAAGTCCAAAGTCCAAACTTCATGCTTTCCGTCTGCTGACAGGATTTAAGGAGATGCTAATATCGTTTTTCAGCAAGACTTGTCACTGCCTACACTGCCAAAAGCATCAGTATGTGGTATAGTCATCATGGTAGCACTGCGCCGTATGTAACTGACCTACACTCCATAGAGAACCTACAGAAGAGATTTCCCTGACACCTCAGCAAAACCGGAGGCAGATGCAGTAATTAATGAAGCATGAGGCTCGATGAAGCATTAAGTGTACATCCTGTACAATCCATGGACATACTTTGCAGGAGATGGAGATTTCTGTGTTTAAATCCTTATTTATTGGTCTTATGTAATATAAAAAATTCTGAGCCAGAATTGTTAAAATGAACAGAAATAAGCACATGGAATATGTTGCACTGTGTCTTATATCAGTTTCTTTTTTTGGCTAATTATGAAAATAAATGAACTTTTCTATGATATTCTAATTTATGGAGGTGCACCTGTATCATCTCAAGCTAAGTGAACTGTACGAAGTAAGATCAGAAACTAGCTGCTACGTCTCTTTCTGCTCCTCAGATACATAAACAGCTCCTCTTGTCTCCGTCCCTCTCTCCAAGGTCCCTGTAATAACCAAACCCGAGGAAACTTTCCAAGAGATTCAAAGACACCCAAGATGAAAGATGTATTTGTTCTTTTGAAGTTACTGCTGCGTCTTGTCATATTTCTGCAGCAAATGCGCTCTGGTAATGGTGTTTTTTTTTTTTTTTTTTTTTTTTTTTTTTTTTTTTTTTGCGTTGTGTTTGGTGCTGACACAGAACTGCCAGAGAGAGAGAGAAAGGGGTGGTGGGGGGGGGGGTCTGACGACCGGGCTCTTGTCTCAGAACTCCCCTAATGAGGAATGTTTCCGTAATGGAATCACTTCCTTGCGACCTCAAAGGACTTCGACTGTTTTTTATTTATACTTGGTGATGCGAATATGAGCACAAAAAAAAAAAAAGAAGAAAAAAAGAGGTTTGTGCAGAAAGCTAGGTTATTGCATCTGGGCGGCTTTGTTTTGCTGCATCCTTCCGTAGCTGGATGCCCTTTTACATCAAGCTTGTCTGGACTATTTTCTTTTCATCTTCTAATTTCTATTGAGAAGACCCTTTTGTTGCATTGTTTTGATTCCAACGCACGGTCTCGCACATCTGGTGCCTCTGCCGTCTTATTTGTAATTGACATGCAACAATGACTGCACGAAAACTTTCTCTTTCTCTAAACCTGGAAGTCTTTGCTCTCATTTATTACATTTAAAAGCCAAGCGGTTCACGCAAACGTTTTGAACGGATGCTTGGATTTCAGTTAAGCTTTGATTCTTAATACCATCTCATTGTTCTCGTTTTTCATTAGCAGCTCTATCTTCTAGATTCATCAGGTTTGCTACTTATCAGTCTCAATCTCAATTCATCTGCTTAACCAGCAGAGAATCACACTGCCCCCTAGTGCCTATCGTGATTAACAACAAATAAGAATTGATTGTGCAAGCTGTCAGGCAGACAATATCCTGGTGCTCTGCCAGTGGCACCGCACCAGAATCTGACATGGGCACCAATGTCTTCTGCACCGGGTGCCACAGTGAAACAGCTTGGGTCAGAGCAAGTCCACAAGTTAGACGGGTCCCTTTCACAAAACACCTAAAGACAGAAAGGGGCTCCAACACGAATTTTGTGTTGCAAGGACGCCAGTCCGCCAATGACTCACACTGCAAGCCGGCTTCACAGGTCAGGGACGTTTTCTGTTTGCAATTTGCACATTTCTGTGGTTTCATTGTTTTTGTTGTGTACCTAGTAGCCAATTTAATGGAGTCTCCAGAACAATTGACCCCTTTGGCAATTTTTCACTCACATTTGGTGTCCAAATGTTCTAGATTCCACACAACCTACTTCCTTGTTTCCCATGTTAGCAAACGTTTGTATATTTGTGCACTTAATTGCATATCAGTCTATTGTCGAACAAATAATTAACTATCAAGGAAAATGTGTTATGTAAATGTATAAAGGAAATAAATGATGAATCTTCACATCTCATTTACAACTTATGTTTTCACCCGTATATAATTTATGTTAACCTATTTCCAGTATTATGGTCCTTATCCTTGTTTGAAAATGTTCAGTCTTAAGAAATATGACAAATTATGGCCCCTGATCAAACCGAAATAATGCCTTTCTACTCATAAATTGTCTATTGGAGTATCATGAACACGTTTGCAACCAAGTAACTTTGGGTTGGCGTAGCTTATTTGTTTCAGTTTAAATGTAAGATATAAAACATTCCCAAGAACTCTAATGTTATTCCAGGATAGTGCCACTTGTTTTTTTTGTCTGATTGACACCATACCTCCTGAAAACCAATCAAAGAATTAATCCAAAAGATTTTCCCCAATTGTGTGCCAGATTGAAACGTCTGGGAAGCCCAGTCACTCAAGAAAGGAATCTCTGTTGACAGTGCAACTAAGAGCTAAAAAGCCTCTGTTTTTTATCTGGTGCTTATACGCCCTCACTGGAACCCGCCCTGAACAACTGCCCAAGTTGCCAATATCAAAAACCACCGCTGCATGTGTGTCAAGTATGACAAGGCTAATTTTTGTGGGGTACAGAAATACCAAAGCTGTAGTAAAAAAAAGTACAAAACGATGAAGGGATAACATGACATGCGCTGTACTCAAGACTCAACACAAAACAGGCAATAAAATTTAAAGAAGTCAACCAATTTTTAGAAAGTTTGAATACAAAACCTGATCGTTGCAGTGCCATGCAGGATACGCTCTGTGCTCAGGAGGCCTCGGGCAACTCTTGCTTTGTTGTTGTATAAATGCTTTAACTGACAAGGCAAACTAAACATCTCCTCAGAAACAATACAAGACCACAGAAAGCACTTGAACAAAAGAGGATTATAATGAACCCAAGCTGCCTTCGCATAAATACATCATGCTGAGTGAATTTGCCAACCTCACTCTCTTCTACCTCTAACCACGGCAAATGAGAATTTATGTATTCACCGCTTTATCATTCTTTACTTTTTCTCTTCCCCACAAGGCAGCCATGGCACACGAGACAGACATTTTCACCAAAGGCAACATGCCCCTCACAGTAATTATATCAGAGTTGGAGAGAGGCTCATTAACATATGTTGGGCATGTCAGGAATTTACAAGCGCCGTTTTCGTAGGGGCCCTTCGTCGGTGAGGAGCTCCCATCCGTATGGCGTCTCCTTTGAGGGTGCAACCTTCCTATTTACATACACGTCAATCACCCTGTGCGGTTTTAGGAAGCACACGAACATAAACACACATACACACACAAAACCAGGAGAGAAAAACAGAGCATGTGAGTGCATATGCGCAGAGGTGTGGCCCATATGCAAGTCCTGGAGCAATATAATAGAAACAAATCCGTAGAGGCGTGATGGACGAAGTGGTTAGTAAAGTATTGACACTTCAAAATAAATGCGCACCACTTTCCAGATTTTCCATTTGTAAGAAAAAAAGAAAACTATACAGCCTTTCTTTTTTCCTTCCACATCAACATTATTGTGAAAGTTTGTCGTCGAATCCTAATAAGAGTCGTTCTAAACGTAACATTACGCTCGCTCCTTTCAGCACTTTTTATTTACTCTTCTGCAGTTTGATGTAGCGTGTCTTTGACTGCATGCATAAAGCTTGACACCAGACTAGCGGCTACTCCTGAGGTCACCATGTTAGTGCTGGAGGACCCAGCATATGTTGCCTGCAAGGAGAAACGTACTGTTTGCCCTTCACCTGCTAGCATGTGGCCAGCAGGATGGAATAACCAGCCGTGCTCACTGCTAAAAATGATACTGAATGGCAATTTCGCATTAAGCCTCTTGTCAGTGGTGAAGCTTTTACATGTTATGTGCAGTAAAGATCAAGTCTGAGCTTGATGCCAGACATTTTAAGAAGTACCTCAGAGAAAGTGGAGCAGAAGCTGTAAATGAGAAGGACTGCATCAACACACTGTTGAAATCAGCTAGCAAGTTAATGGATAATCTAAAGCATAAGAAAGATGTTGGAAATTACCAACTAAAACTTTCTATCTTTGTGGCTTTCATTCTGGAAAAAAAAAAAAAAAAATACATCCAGTGGCAGGCAGAAAAAAAAAAGTGAGCATACAATGAGTTGGAGCAGAATTAAGAGGTAGACAAGGAGGGAAGTCATTTGTTCCCATCTTTTGCTCCACCAAATGTCATTTCAGTGACTGAAGACGCGTTCATTTCCATCACCATCCATTCTCTTTCTCTATCCATCTCTCCCTTTCTTTCGCATTCACTGTCACTGCCTTTTCGCTTTAAGTGCACTTTCGCCCACACCACTTGGAAATTGATTGAAACAAAATGTCACAATTATGCCCTGTAGCTCGCCGCTTCAATTATTCATCAATTAAGGGCTAGGCTCCTTTTTTTCTCTCCTCTGAGCTGATTTTTCATTCAGTTTGCTCGAGATGTATGGCTCCCCTGCTGTTAACCAGTCCAAAGTCATTAGTTTCTGGGTTTGCAATTAAACCTGATGCATTATGTATGAGGCTCCGACTCAGCAGACACACGCTCAGCAGCAGCGGCGGCGGCAGCAGCAGCAGCAGTGGCGGCCGCGGCAGCAAGTGAACAAGCTGCTAGGCTCTGGGGGCGTGGATGAGAAATTAATTTGCTTGCAATGAAGTTCTCTCCATCCCTCCCTCTATCTCTCTTTCTCTAGCTTTCTCCTGTTGGAACAGATGCCGCCAGGAGGAGATGGAGGTAGAAATTAGATAACTGCATTCAGACAAGGTAAGTGGGAAGATATTATATTGTCGTTATATAAAATATTAAACAGCTTCACACATTCCTTGACCTTCATAAACAGATAAGAGGTCATTTGCATGCACACCTTCACAAAGTCGACCTATGTACGGAACATTAGCAGCATATAGCCGTCAAAGAGAATTAAAAGACGTTTTTCAAAACTAACAGCGCTTCTAATTACCTCCGGCATCCTTTAAGCTTCAAGCCTGACGTTTCCCCTCAGTGAGTCGTATGAAAGCTATCGATGAGACAGAAAAAAAAACTTTTCTGCTTGAACTCGTATCTGACAGTGAACCGTTAAAAATACCACGTTATTCTGCTGCCACCTAGTGACCACTTGACTCTGTGGCCACAGAGTCGAGCATCCTTCAGTAGTCCTGCATTTATTTCGTCTCAACGCCATAGTAGCAGGGTCCTTCTGCTCTGAAGCAGTTGTATGAACACAGGAGAGCCCGGACTGGAATAGTGAGCCAACTCCTCAAGTTCATCTCCTACAGCAGACAAACAACACAGAGAAAAGTCTTCCTTAGCCGCTGATTGTTTTCGCCATTTCAGAATCGGCTTGAAAATGTCCCATTCTGTTGTCAATAAAGACATCTGAAAGATAAATGTATAAAAAAGGGAAAATAAAAGACAAGTTTTTCTTTCTCTTTTTCTTCTAAACATGTACACATGCAACAAAGAGAAAGTCAAGGTTGAACACGTTAGGATAGTTTCACACTTCCAGTGAAAGTACTTGAGCCCTTGGAAGCCCTCATGAATGATAGATTAATATGAGTATCACATTTTAAAAAAGTTAAAGGCAAGTCGTTTGACAAAGCTATCATTAATTGCAGTATGTAAATATGAATAAAAAAAGATCCAAAGTTAAATTCTGAAGACATGGGAAATTACCTGTTTATTCAAAAACGATACAGGAATAAAATATGTTGATTAGAAAGAAGGATGACCAAACAATCAGAGGTTAAATTGATCAAATTTTCCCTAGGTCACTGATCCACTTATGATATACAAAAAATTAGTTTTTTTCTGCTGATAAAACTCAATAAAGCTCCTACTATAAACGCATCGACCAACAGGATGTTCCTTCATGTACGTGTTTGTGTGTTTTTAAGAAAAGTCTGATCAGTGAAACTCTAATTTTATTCAAATCTTAACTTTTCTCAAATTGTATCCTGCACAAGGTATGATTTCTAAAGCTTTCAGAGAAAAAAAAAACATTCATTAGGCTAAAAAATGACACAAAATAAGAAAAATATTTTTCTTTTTGACTCAACATAGATTTTGTACACATTAAAGAGAAAATTGAGGAGTCTTCTTATCCATACTGGAAGAGAATGGTGAAGACAAATCATACTAGAAGCAAATCCATTAATTGTTCACATAAAAAAAAAAACGTTAAATTATATCTTTTGTTGAAAAGTTAGCAGAAAACTGAAGATGAATGCGAAAACACAAAACCACAAACAACTTCAGAGCTGAAGCTGGTCATCACTGACTAATTCGCAAACCGAAGTTCCCTTTGCACAAGTTTATCATTTGTGCTCCAAGTTGTATGCAATCTGAACATTATAGTCAATAACTAATTAAAAGGATTCAAAATCAGTCTAATCAGTCTAAAGTACTCCATCCTCCCGGTCAAGTTTTACATTTGAATGTTGAAGCACGTGGATTAAAAACTAGAATAACCCGTCACTGTAGCAGTTTTCATCACAAACACAGAAGATGTCTACGTGTTTAGAAAGTGGCGTTCTGACCTTCTGCAGACTGACAAAATGCACGCACTCCACCCAGGTGCCGAGGAAGGGCCCATTGCACTCCGTACAACACCTGCTGCTGGACAACAGGTCGTTCAGCTCTGGGTAGTGAGGAAGGCTCAGTTTGATCAGCGAGAACTTCTTTCTGACTTCTAGCAAAACAAGCCTGGCAGCCAGTTCCTACAGAGACACATCTGGGTCACAGTTACCACAACGACGAGAGTTTGAGTTGCAAACATGACGATTATATGAAGACCTTCAGTGACAGCATCTGAGGCTGCGGCAGTAATGGCACCGGTTCAAGTTTAATCAGCCAGTTCCCGTCACAGTACAGCTCCGTCAGGTGCAGCAGGTGGAACTAAACATTTACAATGTACACATTACGCGATGTCATTGATTTCCTTTTCGAAAAGAAAACCATAATATTGTGGATTTTGCTGTCCAGCGTACCTCTACGGGAAATATGGACAGCATGTTCCCAGCCACATCCAGAACTCGGAGTTTAATAAGAGCTGTTATTCCCTGCAGGAAAAGCCAGATGGGTATAAGGTTTTAGTCACCATGTATTGTTTTTTTTTTGTTGTTGTTTTTTTTTGAAACAGTCAGACTTAAATTTGGTGGTTCCAGCTGTTGCATCTCACAAGCTGCCATGAATTATGCCTGCTTTAACAAACCAATTAGTACATACCCACCTCTGGCAGGTTGGTCAGCCTGTTTCTGGCTGCGTACAGCTTTATGAGGTTTCTGCAAAAGTACAGCTGCTTAGGTAGGCTTGAGAGATTGTTATAGGTAAGGTTGAGCTCTGACAGCTTTTTAAGACAACCAACTTCACCAGGAAGCTCCTCCAGCTTGTTGTCAACTATGCTGAAGTGCTGAAGCTTCCTCAGCCTGCAAATAAACACATTTTCAGAATCTTTGACAAAGAAATATATTTCTCATTTGATCATCTACCTACTCTGATGCTGGTAAATGTGTTTAGTGCCTTAAACTAGTTTAATGCAATAAATATAAATAATAATCTCAAAAATATTTTAAATTGTGTACATTAGGTACAAAAGTTTCATGATGAGAAAAATTTGCGCTTAAAAAATACATGGTGTAACGACGCAAGCCCCGTTCCTCGCAAGCTCTCTCAAAAAATATTAAAGAAAAGAGAAAATATGCTCTTTAGGTAATTCTAAAGTGATTCTACTGCAAGAAAAGAAATTAAGTGAAAAGTTTTCAAAATCTAAAAAAATAAAAAAATATGGAGAACATTGCCAGTAAAGAAAAAAAAATTAAAAAGAGCAATTTTTGACAAAGTGGGTACATTTATTTACCTGCCAATTTCTGGTGGTAACCTTTGAATGTTGTTGTGGTTGAGATTGAGGACAACAAGGTTTCCTAAGTTACCTTCAAAACATGATGACGCAGTCATTGAGTTCATTCAGGGTCTGCATTACCAACCCCAAACAGTCCAGACCTGCCTACCAATTGCGTCAGGTGACACCACGTTAATTTTGTTGTTGTACAGGTCGAGTTTTGTCAGTGAACCCAGGTGGCTGAGGACTACAGGAAACTCCCTCAGGGCATTATTTCCCAAATTCAGCTCTGTTAGCTTTGAAGACAAAATAGTAGACTGAGCAATCTTTGTGATTTGTTAGGCAGATTGCAGGAAATGAGAGAAGACTCACGTGACGTAGAGACTGGAGTTGGGTTGGGAGGTCAGAGATGGAGTTGTGGCACAACAGAAGGACTGAGAGGTTTGGGAATCGGGAAACAAACTCAGGAACGCTCTTCAACCTGTTTGAATTCAGATTTAAAGAGTATCCTCTGCCACATGAAGCTCTGATCATGGTTCCTCTAAGAGCTAAACCATGGGCCATTTTCCTGATCCCACCTCTTGCTGGCCTCTTTCTGTTGAGTTCCCATGGCGACAAAAGTCAACAATCTTGTTAAAGTTCTTGCTATGGGCAAGTGCGACCTCTATTGGTCACACCTCAATAAAGCAAGCTGGTCACTATTTTACAGGTTTTATATACCAACTATGCTCCTTATGTCGGAGAGTCTATAAATAATATATAAATCTCACATACATGTGGTCAAAAAAGGGTATTCCCAAGCAGTTAGGGTAAGTCATTTAATTTGCAATCCAGATTAGGGATACAAACAATTAATTACAATTCATTTTTGATGAATGATTTATTAGATTAAATATAGTTCCAACTGATTACCTAATAGTGTTGCCTTAAAAATGTATTAAATAAATGTTATTTAATTTATATTTAGGTCACATTAAAAATACTGATAATTTTTCACCTGTGTTGTAAATTTTTCATGACCAATAGTCATATTTATATTTTCTAATATTTAAGACTTTAGATGGGAATGATCAACAAATAAGCAATTTTGTCTTGGGAATCAGCAAAGTATGTTTCTGATTCAGATTAGACCTTTTTTTAGTGTTGTAGTTTGCCCAGAAGAGGGCGCTGCTGCCTGCTGGTCATCCTTGAGCGGACCTGATTGTGACAAGAATAAAGATGGCGGAGCTATACTACATTGGGAAAGAGAAAGGATCCAAAGAGAGTTTGGTGTTGGATGCAAAATGAACATTATGCAGTTCTGTTCTTTAAAAAAAATAAATAAATAAAACAACACTTGGCAAGTTAATATTAATGTTAAACTTTATTATTTTTTTAATTGAGCATAAAAACTAAATTTTTTTAAGTGTTTTTTTATTTTTTACAGAAAAAAAACTCAGGTTTTTAAAGAAAATGATAAGTTACCAATTACTCAATCAATAAAATAAATCAACCATAGATTACCTTATTAATCTATGATCCAGATTGCTCTTAGTGCCATCACTCTTCAAGACAAATAATTTTACAATCCTGCAGTTCTGCAACATCTTTATTTTCAATAATCTTGACTGTCTCATAGGGTGGGATAAGCACTTCTTTCTCTTCAGGATGAGCTGAATATCCTTCTATCACAGCACCATAGCAAGTTTTGATTTTACAGCACGTCTCGGTACCATACGTCGTCTGGTTGTGTGTCAGAGAGCTGGACGCGAAGCTACCAAATCGCATTTTATATGCCATTTGTATAAATGGAACCGACTTTGGTCTGTAAGCAGTATGGCACTTGTTTTTGTCTGCTATTTTTAATTTCTGCAAAGCTGACGCAAGTAGGTATTACAAAATGTGGAACTTAAATGAAGTACCATGCATGTGTTTACCTGACCTGACAGCAACATTAAACTTTTTATACACTCCGTTTTTATGTTCTGTTTACACACGGATTGCTTGCACTTCCTGTTGGGTCAGAATATTATCTTTTTTTTTTTATCTTGCTTTTTTCATTGTCCCAGTGAGTTCTAATGACATGGTGACAAAATAATGCACAGTCATGTTCATATACAGACATAAATGGCATAAATGCGTTGAAAAAGGGAAAATAACTCTGCCCAAAGCATACTGCCAGGTGTAACATATTTTAGGTTATCAAATAAGACAAAAGACAGAAAATATTTCCTATGATCATTTTTTATTATGAATTTGTGATACAATTTTAGACAGGCAGATTTTAGATTCACCACTCCATTGAATTGGACCCACCAAAGGAGACAAAGTGAAGCAAAGTGAACCATGTTTCCTTATTTTCCCCCTGCAAAGTTCCTAAATTACTTTCACAAATGCAGACATAAAATATTTAAACTTTACGTGAATAGTATTTAACCTCACTAACCTTTGTGATGATGTTTATATCTGCAAAAAAAAAAAAAGAAAAAAAAAGGAAAGGAATGACTTTAAATTGAGAGAGCTGTCTCAAAGTGTCAGAATATATACACTGGAAGGGAATGTTGTTCAGCTGTGGATATCACAAAGAACAGTAAGATCCAGAATGAAAGCTGAGATATTTTAGA